CGCGGGCCCCCCCCCCCCCCCCCACAGGGGAGCCCCGGGCCCTCCCCGCCTCCCCGCTGCTGGGTCCTGGGCGGTGGGGTCAGAAAGTCCCTTCCCGCCTGTCTCCGGCGCGGGCCCCCCCCCCTCCCCCCACAGGGGAGCCCCGCCCCGCGTCCCCCTCCCCGCTGCTGGGTCCTGGGCGGTGGGGTCAGAAAGTCCCTTCCCGCCTGTCTCCGGTGCCCGGCCGCGGGCCCCTCGTTACACCCTCTGGGCGCACGGGCCTGGCCAGGGCTGTTTGTCGGGGGAGGCAGAGACCTTCCCTGGGACACGCTGCGGGGACCAGACGCCCCGAGCCAGGGTTTTGTCGCTGTTCCTCCCGCGACTCGTTCCCGGCCCGCTCCGCCCGGCGTGGGAAGCGGGGGAAAGTCCTTCGAGAAACCAGCCAGTGGCGCGGGGTAAATCCTGCCCGAGTTTTAAATCCCCCCCACGGGTCGGTGCGTTTTCACAGCGCGCTCCGTGGGCGCGTGTCTGGTTCCCTGCGGGGCCCCGCGCTCCCTGGGCCCGCAGCCTCCCCGGCTCGTTAGACGCCGCTTCCCCTTTTTGCGCCAGGCCCCCGTTGCTCCGTGTCACTGTGTGAGTGTGAGGCTGCCGGGCGCAGTAATAGGTGCCGGTGTCCGCAGCTGTCAGCGCGCGGAGCTGCAGCGAGAACTGGTTCTTGGCGGAGTCAGGGGAGATGGCGATGCGGCCTTGGAGAGGCCGGGCGTAGGTTGCGCTCCCGCTATACGGATACACAAACCCCACCCACTCCAGCCCCTTCCCGGGGCGCTGCCGGTGCCACTGCCAGTTGTAATTCGGAGCGGAGATGGAGAACCCGGAGACAGCGCAGCTCAGGGTGAGGGTCTCCAGAACTGGTTCTTGGCGGAGTCAGGGGAGATGGCGATGCGGCCTTGGAGAGGCCGGGCGTAGGTTGCGCTCCCGCTATACGGATACACAAACCCCACCCACTCCAGCCCCTTCCCGGGGCGCTGCCGGTGCCACTGCCAGTTGTAATTCGGAGCGGAGATGGAGAACCCGGAGACAGCGCAGCTCAGGGTGAGGGTCTCCCCGGGCATCGCCGCCCCCGGGCCGGACTGGACCAGCCGCACCTGGGAGAGGACACCTGGGAAAAGGGCAAGAAAGCGAGGAAAGATGTAGCCACCGAGTGTGTCTCTGTGTGACCCTGATTCCCCCACGTGCCCCACGGACACTCACAGCGGGGGGCGGTGAGCAGGCCGAGGAAAAGCAGCAGAGGTTCCATTCTCGTTCCCAGGCACTGAGGGAAACTCCCCCGCGGGCCGGGCCGGGCTGTGTCTGGGCAGACTGAGGATCCTAGAATCCTGGGTTTGTATTTACACAGGCAGCCCCGGGGAGGGATTTGCATGCGGGCTCCGCCAGGAGGTTTAAAGGGAGGGAGCCAGGACTGGCCGGCCTCAGAGTCACACACCCGCTGCGTGTCTCAGCCTGTGGCCCAAAGTCACTTCACGGGGGCTGGAGTCCTTCATCGGGAATCGATGTCCCGAGGATCGGGTCCCGGCCCTCGCTGGGTTTTTGAATCCCGCCCGACGCCCTGGGCCCGGCTGGGAAATACAGACGCCAGGAGGCGCTTTCCGGAGCCGCGAGACTCTCCCGGGAGGGTCTGGGGGGGAGGGAGGCGCAGCTGCAGTGAGAAGCAGGCTCAGTGCAGGGCGAGCACTGGGCAGGGCGCGCGGGGCAGCTTGTGGCGCTGGGAGGACGCAGCCCGGGGCTGCAGGGACACAGGGACCGTCTGGAGCACTGGTTGGGGGAAATGCATCGCCTGGTGCCAGGCGCTTTCCATGGGGAGAGACGCAGAGACACTGGGTGACAAAGGCGGCTGGGCCTGCTGGGGAAGGGGCGCGTGCTCCGGGTACCAGAAAAAATGGGACTTACTCCGTGTGTGTCTGTGAAGGGCCGCTGCCCCCTACTGGGGGGAATGGGACTTGCTCCGTGTGTGTCCGTGAGGGGCCGCTGCCCCCTACTGGGGGGAATGGGACTTGCTCCGCTTATATCTGTGAAGGGCTGCTGCCCCCTACTGGGGAGAATGGGACTTGCTCCTTGTGTGTCTGTGAAGGGCTGCTGCCCCCTACTGGGGAGAATGGGACTTGCTCCGTGTGTGTCCGTGAGGGGCCGCTGCCCCCTACTGGGGGGAATGGGACTTGCTCTGTGTGTGTCCGTGAGGGGCCGCTGCCCCCTACTGGGGGGAATGGGACTTGCTCCGTCTGTGTCCGTGCCCTTTACTCCCTTCCGAAGACAAAGTGACCGTCCTAGTGCACATAACGCCCCTGGGACAGACCCAGGAACAGGCCCCGCGGGATGGTTTTTAGCTCTCAATTCCCGGTCTGCCAGCCACTGAAAAGGCAGGAAATGCCTCTGTTCTCCCAGTGAGCGTGACACCTTTTCTGTGGCAGCTGAAGGGGAGGCCGTGTCCATAAATTCTTCCTGGGATTTTCTTAAAGTCCCGATGTGCGTGCGGGTGTTTTGTTCGAAGTTAATTCAATGCGTCTGTGTCTCTTTCTCTGCAGGGGCCCAGCTATCGCTGGAGCCTCCCAGTGCGAGGTAGAAACTGCTTCCTCTTTTTCTGCCAAGCCCTGCGTTGCTCCGTGTCACTGTGTAGCGGGCGCAGTAATAGGTGCCGGTGTCCACAGCTGTCAGCGAGCGGAGCTGCAGCGAGACCTGGTTCTTGGCCGTATCCCCAGAGACGGTGACTCGGCTTTGGAGAGACGGGGCGTAGGCTGTCTCCCCGCTGTTATATGGGTACACAGACCCAACCCACTCCAGCCCATTCCCAGGGGGCTGCCGGATCCAGCTCCAGCTGTAATGCTGAGTAGAGATGGAGAATCCGGAGACAGCGCAGCTCAGGGTGAGGGTCTCTCCGGGCTTCACTGTCCCCGGGCCGGACTGGACCAGCTGCACCTGAGCGAGGACACCTGGGGAAAGGAAGCAAATCCAGGAAGGAATTAGCCGCTGAATGTGGGTGCGGCTCCCTAATTCCCCCACGTGCCCCACGGACACTCACAGCAGGGGGTGGCGAGCAGGGCGAGGAAAAGCAGCAGAGGTTCCATTCTCGTTCCCAGGCACTGAGGGAAACTCCCCAGCGGGCAGGGCTGTGTCTGGGCGGAGACTGAGGCTCCTAGACCTGGGGCTGGTATTTAACCCGACAGCCCCTGAGCAGAGATTTGCATGCGGGTTCCCCTGGCCAGGTATAAGGGACGCCAGGGGGTGGGCGCTCAGCACGTGGCGATGTCCCCTCGGGGACAGGTGTCCCCATGACACCAGGCAGACACTGCGCTCAGCTAAGCGCCCGCAACGTGACAGGAGGGGGTTGGGGGAGGACGGATTGCAGGGTGCAGGGGACCGGGCCCTACACGGTTTGCATGGGGGTGTGGCCCAGCGGAGGTGAACAGCCGGGGGAAGGATCCATTGGAGACTCAGACATCTCCCAGGTGCGAGGGTGAAATCCTCCGGAAACCCTTGGCCCGCGGGCTCCTCTAGAATGTGCCGGGGCCTGCACAGGACACAGACAAGGCCGGGAGATGCCCAGAGGGGGAGTCTCTCCCGGGAGGGGCAGATGGGGCAGGAACCGCAGCTGCAGGGAGAGAGTCTGGTTTCCGCCCCACAGACTGACGGGGCAGCAGCAGAGCATCGTAGGACTGGAGGGGCCTGGAGCCGCCTTTTAATCCAGTGCCCGGCGCTGCTGGCGGGGCTGTTTTATCGAGACTGTTCCGTGTTGTCTGGGCTGCGTCGGAACAAGGGCCGTGACCGCAGGGACAGATCCCCACAGGGGAACGGACCCGCTTATCTCTCTCTCGGTTAGAGA